AAAACTTCGATCAGTTGGAGGCTACTGAGTAAAGATTGTCAGTTTTAAACTTGTTGAATTAAAGTTTATTAAAACTATTACATCATTTTTGCGTCATCATTTATAATCCGAGTTACAAAGAATTATTTCATTGAGCGGGCAATAAATGTGGGCAACAAAAACATTGACGTCCATTTTTGCAAATAAACATTCTCGTTTGATGCAAAACGTTTTTAACATTGGCCGAGTTCATATCATTTATTCAATAGAATTTCTTCCAGACTGCGTACTTCAGTAATTTTACCTTTGACATGCACAAAATATCGTCCAAAAATCCCTAAAGCTCAATGAAATTTAACAACAGATACTCGTTAATGAGTAACCTTAACAGTAACCATAACCCTAAACCCGGTGACCAAATTAGCTCATGGAAAAAAATCTGGTCTTCATCAATTTGAACAAGAGGATTTTTAACTAGATTTTGGTCGACTCGATTTCGATGCAATTAATCGAGTTAGTATCTTTACGTTTCCACAGGTAACGACATTACGGTGATGAATTACCCAGTTTAAATACCAAATCAGGTTAGTTGTCATAGAAATTTCATTCTGTTTTTGCATGCTGTGTTGTTGTTCAGAGAAGACGTTGAATACCTTAACAATTCACTCAGTGAGAAAAGAAAATTCAATAGAAAATTAACCTAAGCCACTGATCTCAAAGAAACAGGCTCGGAGAAGGCTACTTAAATTTAGCCTCTTTTAGACCAAAAACCTGCCTTAGACGGGCACTCCATGAAAGTTCTAAGATAAATGAACTTTTCATTTTCAGAGAAAACTGCAGGTAAACTTTCAAAATCTTTCCCACTTCAGCTTAGTATCATTGGAAATGTGTAAAGAACAGTAAGGAAAATGTCTAAACTAATATTAGGGTGTAAACGGGCTTAACAGGTCTCAACGTATTTTCAAATGGAGTCGCTCTCAAATCACTTACAGACTCAATGATAATTTGTCTCCCGGGAATAATTTTGCATGTAGAAACACAACACGCCACATAGGCTTGCATCTGTATCTAATTTATATCGTCAAGCAATCATTTTATTGTCATTCTCTAACTTCACCTGGAAGAACAACCATTGTAGTGTGATCCAGAACAAGAAACTGCGGTATAAAAGTATCGATAGAGCTCTCTGAATCATATATTTTTGTTCTTTCCATTTTCGTCAAATTTTTGAGAATTGGAGGACTTCCTCTGAACTAAATTGCCTCATTCTATAGCGTGGGGAAGAGGGGGTGGAGTTGAGACTTCGAAAAATTTATGCAAACGTAAGACGCAGTGAAGAGTTTGCGTAGCTTTCTAGAAGTATTCAGACCCCCTTCCCCCCCACTACTTCCCTAATCCAGACTGTTCAGATGATACAATTTGAACACGAGATAAGGTCTCACTGCTATAATCAATTATCTTTCAAAGATATGCGCAAAACTCAGAACTTAAATTGTGTTTTCATCGATTCAACTTAACACATCCATCGACCAACGAGAGAGCGCGAGGTATCTCAGTTATGAGATGTGAAAAGTAGTAGGTTATGAAATCTTCATGCATATTTCTTTTTGAAATGATAATTCGTGTTTGAAAACATTGCGCAAGGTTTTTTCTTTTGTTTTTTTGCTGTCAAGCAGTGACGTTTTACTTGATAGCCAGACATACTGCTGAGATCTCCAAGAGGTCCAGGATGAAGTTGCGAAAAGGTTCAAGTCTGAAACTAAGACGATGATTAAAGGGAAATGCGAAAAAGGAAGTGCTTAGCGAAAGAACGCGAACCTTACTCAGCACGTGGCCATTTCCTTTTTGTTATAAGCCTATTGGAAGTAATTTTCAGGCTATTGAGATCTTTCCCTTAAAAGTTCGTCCGTCAATTTAACATACACGTTACTCCAATTTGTGGATATTCCAAAAAAAAACAAAGCATAACTGAATGTGAAATTGAATTTTCAAGTTAACCATCAATTGATTGCTAAAATAGATAAATGTTGGAAAGGAAGTCAGCCACACTAATCAGAATGACTCGAGCTAACGAAATAAAAATAGCTGGCATCTTCTTAATTTACACTCAAGTGCTCTTATTTCGAGAAAGACTTTCGAAAATAATGTTCTAAAATAGACAAGACGTGGATTTCGTACCTTGCCCAATGCACACTCCAAGGGAGGAAAGACGATATTAGACAGAGGGTAACCCGGATTTAGGGAGGCCAGCCAAAGGTAGGACTTATTTCAGTAGTATCAGGCTTCTGGAGCATGCTATAAGGAAAGTTGTTGTTAGAGAGTTTTATGTTTTTGTTTTTAATTCATTTGTTTTTTTTTTTTTTGCTTTTAAAAAAGAATTATTGAATCTTGCTTAACTCTTATATAATCGTAGTCCGTGGTTACGCCAATGGTGTCATTTCTAACGGAACCAGTCGCCTCGCTTAAATATATGCGTTTCAGTCAGAGATGAGCTTTTTCTTAATCTTGTTTTTAGTTTATTACAAGAGATTGCAGTCTTAGCATTCATTCATCCTGAGGTTTGATGGCCTTTAGGCCTTTAGAAAAGCTCACGGAAAATGTTTCACCAAGGAATTTCATTTTTATGAGATTACTTTACATTCAAGTTGTTCAGTACTTTAATTTTTTTTTTTTACTTTTATTTTTAACAGACCTTTCACCTTGATAAAGTGGAGGAGTTTCTAGAAACACACAAACGTGTTTTGTGTTGTAGATCAGTGGCTTGTATTGTTCACATGTAAAGACAGAAAGAAGAAGGGAGCAGAGAGGGTTGGAGATAGAGAGAGGAAAAAAAGTATCAGATAAGTTCACTGAGTTGTTTTAAAAGTCTTTAATAAAACATGCTTTTAAAACATAGAGTATACATGTGAACGTGATTCACTAAAAGCGCATTATCGCTTCAGCGCTAGATTTCTTCTCTAAGTCCAGAGACGACATGGCTACTTGGATGTTCTCTTGTAAACAACACGTCCAATTTTAAGTGTGGATTAAACAAATGTCTGGACATCTGTCAGATAAAGAAACAAATTTATGATCACTTCATGACTTTGGTTTGTAAACGGTTTACAAATCGGAAATTTTTAACCCAAAACCCAATCAGTGAAAAGCTGCTATAAAAAAAGAAACAAGTCAAGTGCCTGTAAGTATTTAGTTTGCTTAAAAGCTGAGTCTCCTAAATTTGAAAGACAGCTGCTATAATTTCTGTCAATGTTTTGGCAACAAACCAAGGGTAATTAACGTCACCAGTGTCCAACAAAGTCTCAAGAACCGTGCGAAATTACTCCGGCAAAATCAGTTCGCTTACAAAACGCGATAAGGCTTTATGATTTTTTCGAGTCATAGGCATTGTCTAGCTTTCTTGATTTCTTTAGCACTATTTTGAAGCTGTCACTGTCAGAGATGCATTAACTAGTCTTTCTACACATTTAGTATCTGCTGTTAAGGAATTTTCTTTTGTGTTTGTTGAATAACCTAATTACTCATTACAGTGGACGAATGATCACGGGGAGGGATCAACGAGTAGTTTAAGTAATCATCTCTTAAAAGTCGTTTTCGTTTGGAACGAAAAGCATTTGAAAACAAAACAAAAAAAAAAAAGAAAAGAAAACAGTTGGTTAGAGGTTTCATGGCCTGCCTGTGAGCTTTTACAATTGCGTTACTAGACGAAGACTCAATATTGATAGATGGATTTTAGCAAGCAAACTTAAAAATGCATAATTGTTCAAGACTAGTTACGTATTTCATAAGAGTAAATTACGTCGTATTACCAACACGAACTGATAGAGCGTAACACTGTTCTTGCTTGCAAAAAAAAAAGAACACGGGTAAATCTTCCTTGAGATTTTTCTTTTATTTTGAGAAGAAATATCCTTGGTTTATTCCCTTAACGTTTTATGTCCATTAAATTCATAAATGTCTTGGTTTTGACACCTAAAGACCATTGTACTGCCTAACAAAAGTTTCAACAATGTTTACTATTGCTTTGCATATTGATGGCTCCACGCTACAAAAATATATCTTTGCTCCTTCGCTCGCTACTCCGTTTCGTGTTAAAGTTGCCTTCATTAAGCCTTGGATTAAGTAGGAAAGAAAACGTACATGATAATTTATAGTGTCATTCATATCTACTTTCCATCACTTGGAGTGTGAAATATGTTATATACATAATTATATTTATCTAGCACTTCAGTAGTTTTGGTCTCTATTGCAGTGGGAATGCATTTAGTGTGCACAGTTAGGCACAATTGTTCCCAATTCTGTAATCCGCAGCATTCCGCGGCTATCGCTCCTCTCAGATGTTACCCTCTGCTGGCTAAAGTCTTTGGCAAACTCTCTTTTTCCTTTCGAGACGTGAAACGAATCTACGATTAAACAACAGACGAGACAAAATGAGCACGGAACAATTTCACAATTCATGCACGTTGAGCAACTATTCCAGTTACTGATAAATTATTAGAAAAGGAAACGGAATTTAAGGTGAAACACTCTTAGACACAAAGGAGAAGACAAAAGAATAATAAAAATAAAATTCTTGTACAGCTCTGCTTTAAATAGCTTTTGATTGCAACCAGTGTGGGAGTTCAGTGCAAACCCATAAAAAATCTCGGTTATGAAGTGTCGTGCGGCTGTTTTATCATTACAGTCACGTCACAGTAACTTGCCCTTACCTCTTGCGATGCCGATGTTTCAGTTTCTTGCAAATCAAACCCGCCGCACACGGGCACTTTTGGTTCAGTGAGTAACCCAGACCACCTTCCGGTACATAGCAGTCTTCACCCTCTTGAAGCAAACGCCTGCAGATTGGCTCCCCGTGAACTTTAACGCAGCATAATCCGGAATCGCATTTGCGATCTTTCCTGCATCTTGCACCCTCTGTACCCCGAGGAACTGCTTTCCTGCAGAACCCAAATACGCACTCCAATCCGTTGCAGCACATGTTATTTCGACGACACGCAGATTCTACTGGCTTGCAAGCATGACATAAACCGTTGTGCTTGTGACAATATTTTCCTTGGCCACACTGTCTGTCTTTTCTACAGTGCTGTTGGAAAAATTTCAATTATAGTTAGAATTATCCTGTTTTCCTACTGGGTTATTGGTGAGCAATTCATGTCATATGCAGGGTTGGCATTTTATCTCCCTACTTACTCCTTGCACAGTTGAGTTTCCCTTAGTGTTGTTGTCAGGGCTGTTGCTCTGCTTCCCTTCGTCCGTATCAACAGGATTTACACTAAGAATCCAACTGTATACAACACTATTCGCTACTTCCACAAACGCCAGGAGAAACACAACGAGCAGCATATATCTTTTCATGACGATGTGCTTGCCATGCAATTCACGCAGCTTTGACAGCGCTCAGTCTAAGTAGATCGTAAACGACTAATTAACCAACTGCCTTTTCACATAAATGATATTTAACACGTGTGACAGAAACACTGTCAGGACGTGGCCAATAACAGATGGAAATTTTTCAATAGCCGTGTGTACAATAGAAACGGGGGGGCGTGGAGGACTAATTAACGAGGAGGAGAAAAAACGCTTGCTCTGTCATTATTCTATTGATTTGTTAACTAATCTGCTCTTCAGGGCTTATCAAACGACTCAGTCCAAGAAACAACACTACACTTCATCGTATCAAAGCTCTGTTCCTTATTAGAGTAATAAGATTCTACGGAAATACAAGTAGGTTATCTTAATCCTAAAGATTTGCTACAAATATTTTCTGAAAGCGGTGCATTTTAAATACGTTCTAGATCATGTCAGTCTTGGAGGGCCTTGTAATTTATGTTAATTTAGAATGATAAGATGATAATATGGTGAGCTCAACGCTTCACTCGGCTAATATCGAGATTTAACTGAAGTGATTGTTCAAGAATTTCGTTAGCGCGTTGGGTGGAAATTTCAATTTTTGTTTTTGACGCGCACATAGTTTATTACAAATAAATTGTTTTTCATTCATCTTTTCCTTAAATTTATCCTAATTTATCTGGTTTATATCTATGATACGAGGCTATTAGTACATCGTTTGATATATGAATACTTGGAAACACTCCATGCGGGGGAAAACAGCCATGAAACACAAACTAACGACGCCAGAAATTTGATAATTAAATAAAGCGATTAACTTCGATTTTCGTGCCAAGGAAAAACTAAAAGAATGTTCTTCCACATGTGGATTTCCAAGTGATAATTTTCTTAAGCACTCGACAACCATGACAGGAAACAGTTCAATTAAATCTTTCAGTTATTTTGGCCTGGAAGGCTGATACAATCATAATGCAATGAAAAGCGTGTCTGGCCAAAAATTTACTGTTATCGCTACCACTGAGCCAGAGTAATGTGGAAAATCTGATGTTATCGATTAGCAAGGATTGTGGTCAACCACTAAATTTCCATCGCGCAACATAAACAGATAGGTTGGCGTACGACCAAGGATTAAAAATAACTTGCCCTAAGCGGCCATTTATGAATACGGTGTATGATCCCTGACATGTAGGTCATTTGCTTAGATGACGTGATATAAAGGTGGGTTGCTGTCAACACTTCCATATGCATGACTTACGACGGTGAGTCAGATCTTTCAGCACATTCTCAGAGAAATACTTTTCATTTTGTAACAGTCCAAGGAAGCTACCGATGTATCTGTTTACATTTTGAATCAGCGAGATTTTCTCTCCCTCTGAGATAATTTCCCATCTTCTGTAAAAATTTAAATATTCCGGCAGTAGGTTGTGCAAAGCTCATCTGGAAAAGGACTGAATACGTGAGGACATGGAATTAACCAGCGACGACCATAAACTTAATCCAAGAAAAACCAAGATTCTTAAAAACACAGTAAATTCATCACGTAGCTGCCGTCGTAAATCCTAGACAAAAACAAAGATAACATCGATTATCCCCTTCAAAGCCTTACATGTTGTCACCACAGTGAAATATTGTTTGAATGATTCAGTTGTTCCCGTTCATCTTCTTAGACCAGGCGTCAAGCGTGTGTTGATCACGCCCACAAATCTGTTAATTTTTAAAACTCATGAAATGCTGGAGTTCTCAATTTTTCCCTTTTTTATTCAACTACGCTCTGATATTGTTTGGAAATTTTAACATTGATGGCAGTTTTATCCGTCGGTGTTTGCATCGGTTTTTTCCATTCGAATGAAGATACTTTGAATAAATTAGAATGTGTTCGATTGCATAACTTCATGGCTGCTTCACCCGTAAATCTTTGTATCTCGATATTGTACCATAGTTTATCTATTATCTCCATTAATTCTCAAGCAAACCACAACACGACTAAGACAAATTTTGCTGTTCAATTGCAACTGTAAAATGATAACAGAATCCAATATAAAATTAGTAAAGGCCTTAAAACGGAGCTCACAATGTATTTTTTTTTCTTTGATTACGTCCCATCAATCAAGTTAAGCCCCATTGGATAAGCCCCGCACCTGGATGGGTCTAATTTAATACTTTCCATATTGTTATCTTTTCTTTTATGCTCCAAATGACTTTTAACTTGCTACTGCAATGTAGCAACAGTGTCACTGTAGATAGTATCATCAGGAACACTATTCGTGACCGCTCTCGATGGCGGACATACTTGTTTCAACTGTAACTACAAGAGCCTCAATATTTGCTGCAGGCGGACTTCATTAAAGCTAATTACTCACTATCAACAATCAATACACTATCTGTAGGATCGCTCCTACGATCATCACTGCGCAAACCAGGCAGTCGTTTCCCCCCGACAACATACAGTGGGGTTGGCCAGCCTTGTCGTGCAGCCATTCTTTCATCCCCTCGATATATTTTCAACAGAAACGAAAACCCTTGAAACGGAAAGATGGACGAGTTATGTAACAACCTCAAGTACCTGTGACGGCGAATATAGTTCACTGAATTTTCCTGAGCCATCAAGATATCTTAACTTTGAGCATTTCTTGAGCTGTATATGCATGTGAGAAAATTGGCCGAGCAAAGAATCTTTAGTCTTTTATGAACAGTTTTTTCTATCATTTGTCACAGTATCCGAAGCATTTAATCGAAAATATATCAATTTTTTCTTGTTGTTGTCTCTTTACAGATTATTTTCGTTCCTATCAAGCGTTAAGTTTTCCACTGACAAACTTAATTTCCAGCAATCCACACGCAAGTCATAAAATTTAAAATAAGCTCCTTAAGGTTTCAAATGTCATCTTGACAGGAAGCTATGTGATAAATGTGTTATTGCCCAAGCGCGAGGTCAAAACAATTGTTTAATAGCTTTAATTCTCGTTCTTCAGTTCTTGCGGTTCAAGGTTGCTAAAAAAGGCAACAGAGAGCCGGATTTTATTGTATGGCAAGAAGATTACCACAAAGTATTTCTGTATAAACTCTCCAAAATCGCCGTGGTCTTCCCTAATTTGACTTCCTCGAAGAGCGCGCTAGACCTTGTTTCTGACAAAACTGTGGGAAAACATACTTTTCGTAAAAATATTTAAGCTGCCTGGAAATTACGACGAATGTCAACCAGCAACAGGCTCTGTTCACGATATTGAAGCGGGCAATGAAGCAGACATGATTGGTCCGTCGTTTAGCCAATTAGAAAACAAGATCCGCTTTATCTTGCCCATGCGTTGAGCCAGTCATACAATAATTAAAAATATTGACCAAACAAAAAACAGGCCTATAGCTCATACCAAATGGGAGCTTGATTTATCACGTCGCTGTGCACCGTATGCCAACTAACTTCAAGGGAATGCTGAACGTAATGAACGTGTATGCTGCCCTGACAGAGGACCAACAAGATAATTGGCTTTTTTCAAGTATTTTTTTTTTACATAGACAGAAACAAACGCTTATGCTTAGTGTGCTCAGTACGGATCAATTTAACCGCACTGAACCATCAAAGCCACACAGTAGTCTCGTTCATTTAACGCTGGGATAAACAGCGTGTGGAATCCTTAGCTCCTTCGTTATATCGGCGCCACAATTTACCAGGGAAGTCGGTCGGAAATTAAGAAAACTGAGGTTATTCAACCCACGTTTCCAATTCGCAATGTAGTTTCATTTAAACTGTTTTTTCAGGGCACTTTGTTGAGATAAACCTTTATCGCACAACACCAACAAAGCTTTGCCGGTTTATCGAGACCATCGCAATGTGCTCATAATAATATGCACATTGCAAACATTCTCTGTAAGCACTTTTAAAATATACTGAGTCATTCGTCCTTGAAAGAATTTAATGTCAATTTCAAATGTATTGCAAAAAAAAAAAATCTCGTTCATACAAGTTATGATAAAACTGAAAACTAACGAAACTCAAATATAGAAACACTTCCAGTTGTGCTGGTTGCTGTTGAATCTATGGGCTATAAATTAAGACGACGATAAGAACTTTCACTGAGAAACCTTGTTTCTTGGTAGCACATTTTACTTGTGTTTACAATCTAACCAGTTGTTAGAAATTGGGGCTTACAACACAACGAATACGCTTGGTATTGTTTGGTATTACAATCAATCTTTGATCTGAAATATTTAAAAACTTTTCTTCTAACAATTTCCCGCCTCATTAATCTTTTATTTACTACAGATGACTCTTATGGGAGTCTACACAACATAACAATGCACAAGTTCTCTCTAAAACGCGCTACAACATTTATTCATAAAGAATCTTTCCTCCGCAAAACGAAGCTAATATCGCTAAAAAAAGTCAGTCGCCATCCACAGTCGTCAAGCTGAGGTCCAGTTTTATTTAATAAAATATGGCGGGACGATCCCTAGTTATTATACATAGTTCACCAGAAACAAACTTCACCAATTTCAACTTCTAGTTCTCCAGCTAAATCGTACGCAGCAAAGTCAACAATCGGCAACCGGGAGGCTTGTGTGGTTGTAACAACAAATTGGGTGCTGCGTTGAGATCCATCCTTCACCTGACAAAAAAAGAAAACGCTCTCAGGTGAGAAGGAAAAGATGAATGAAAGAGAAAATAAAATGATGACTTTCTTAATACTGTCGAACTACTTCGGTCTACAGGTGAGGAGTTCAGGGAAAGAGAGGGTAGTGGGGTTGAGGAGGGGATAAGTTCGGGAGACGAGAGGAGAAAGGGTGGAAAGCGGGAACGACGAGGGCGGAAAACGGGAGACTAACGTAAAATTTTTTAACTCAGTAAATCACCGAAATGCACGGCTTCGTTGTAACAGGTAGAAGAGGAGAGTCAGAGATGGTGGAGAGAGGAGAGAGATGGGTCGGGAGGTGACCTCTCCTCTACATACAAGAAAAACGCTTTCATAAAAACCAGAAGGGTCTGAAAACAATCACCTATTTTAATTAAGACTCCATAGTTATAAAAGGTTAAGTTAAAAAAATGTTTAAGGTAAAATTTCACCCATCTTAGAAAAAAAAAGAACCAGTGTGTTACAAGATAATATCTTGTGTTGCTCATAAACTACTCAGCTCCTTTAGGCGGTTCTAACCTTTTTTGTTTCTGAACGAAACCTTTGTTTTATGACCTTTCAGTTAAAGCTAGTGAGCATTACTTTCAAGTGATACTGTTCACTGAGCATAAGAGGATGGTTCTCTCCCTTTAACTGGGGATTAAACCTCATCGTGGGACAATCCAAATAAAAGTTATCTAACAGTTTTTTTCGTTTGGTACTCCTTTCATAATATTCTGTGCAAGATGGTTGTATGTCAGTGAATAATATGTGTGTGACTTGTCGAATGAAAGCTTCTTCGAAATTTTTTCATGACGAGCCTTTTTCATACCATGTTATATAAGTTATAATCAAATGATGAAAAGTCAGGTTGGAGAATTCTTACCTTGCAACCGTCATTGGGAACCTTGATCATGGCTTTCTTTGATTTGGATTTGGAGCTAAACTCGTGGCCGTTCACACCCTCAAATTTAACCGCTTTCTTAAAAGTGCGGGCGCTTTGGTCGTACCAGGCCACCGAGTTTTTACATTTGAAGGTGAACTCCTGTTGGGCGTGGTTACTACGCAGTTGTAGATGGTACAGTTGGATGTCATCAATATCGTATTCAATCTAGTGGAAATAAACATACAACGATGAATACCAGGTGCAGACCAGGAGAGTTTGTTTATTAATAAAGAATCCTGTCGTTTGCCTAGATATTTGCCTAGATATTTGCCTGATATCGGAGAAGGCTGTTCCTTCCTGCCAATTGGATTATTTCTCTTCACGTCGGTACTGATTATATGTATGATATGAACTATAGAAATGTGCGGTGGCGACGCCCGAAACTTTGCGATTTAATACTGCAAGTCTGTCCAGTTTTTTGATGGTTTTTTCTTTCGTTAAGTGTTTTTAAACCCAAAGTTAAGTTCCCAACCACGCTTATTTTCTTTGTAATTCAGATCATGAAATGATTTCATCTTAATGTCTTAAGAGGAACGTCTCTGAGGCAGTTTAAACCTGTTTGCTATACTGACATATTTGATTCTTGGATTTTCAATGGGATTCTCGTCAAATGACTTTATTCCAGATCGTAAACTAACCTTGTTCTCATTATTTAGGTCCTCAGAAAACCATGCGACTTTCATCCTAGGATCTACTTGGGTTTTCCAGGTACTCTTGGGAATCTAAAACACAAACATATACATGTAAAAGATTGGCGCCGCAATCGGTTGAGAAACCACGTGCTCAATGATCCAATCAGTTACAGCTTAAACTTGAACCAATCGTATACAACTTACACGTGAACTACTGAATCAAATACAGCTGAAACTCGAACCAATTACATAGAGCTAAAATTCAAATCAATCAGATACAGCTAAAACGTGAATTAGTCAGATACAGCTTTAACTTGAACCAATCAGATACAGCTAAAACTTGAACCAATCAGAGAAAACTAATGCCTGAACCAATCAGATAAAGCTTTAACTTGAATCAATCAGATAGAGCTTAAATTTGAACCAATCAGATACAGCTAAAACTTGAACCAATCAGAACATCTAAAATTGAACCTATCAGACACAGCTAAAATTGAACCTATCTGACAAAGCTAAAATTGAACCTATCAGACACAGCCAAAATTGAACCTATCTGACAAAGCTAAAATTGAACCTATCAGATACAGCTAAAATTGAACCAATCAGATACAGCTTAAATTGAACCTATCAGAGACAGCTAAAACTTGAACCAATCGCTAGCTCGTGCAAGTGACTTTTATGTTCTTTTAGATTTGAACCTCCTGTAGACGAGACCCACGCAGAATTTTGTCACAAACCTTTGTCATTTTAGGCCTGATGCAAGTAGCTTGGTTGGTAAAATTACAGTGTACAGTGATCTGGTCATTTGGAGATCCACCATTGGGGTCGATATCATATTCGCCTGAATCAAATCAGAAAAAAAAGCGTGTATAACTGTACTCGTCATACATTAGAAAATGGATAAAGAAAAAGTTAAGACCTGTTAACTACACAAAAATCCAATCACGTTTTAAACCATTTGGATTTTAACCAAACTTTATCTAAACGATGATTTTTGTGAATACTATCTTAATTGCCTGGAGTTAACATTGGAAAATAAAATTGTTTTGCTTCAAAGAAGTAAAAAACTTAGTCATCAAATCTTGAGAGGGATATGTAAGCCATCCTCACCATCTTTGAGTCTAATACCAGAGTGACACAGCTGAAGATCTCTACAAGTTTTGGCAGGGAAATACCGTGAATTGTCACGGTGTTCCACATCATACATCTTCTGGGAAAGCTCGGCGATACGGTCCAAAACTCGCATCTCCTAATGACAGTATAGATTTGCTTTAATATAACACTAACAATAATAATAATAATAATAATAATAATAATAATAATAACTGTATAATAACAACTATCACATTTACACTAAAACAATTACATTGTTCGCTCTCGACCTCTATGCGTGACCGTCGATGAGGGCGAATCATCACGCAAAAGGACTCGAAAGCTCATTATTTAATTGCTAAAAAGACGCACAGGGGGAAGTTTGAAGGACAAAAGAGAAGAAAAGCAAACTGCCCATTTTTTTTATGTTATATTCTCACGGCCCTTTTGCGGAGATATCTTTAAATCTAACAGCAGCATTTTGGAAAAAAGGGAAAAAGGAAAAGAAAAGGAAAGAAAGAAAGAAGAAAGGAGCTAGAAGGGAAGTGAGGAAAATCTTATCTCATTGTTTACCTTATATCATATACATGCCTGGCTCAAGTCCGAGGAAAATCTCACAAGACTAACCAGTCACAAATCAAATCTAATCTAATCTTTCATCACAGAATCTAAATGCAAGAAATGATCTTGGCAAGTTACACACCTCGGATACAGCTGATCGTCGTTTCTGTGGACAAGTAATTAAACAAAAAAAGGTTAATCTCATGTCAGCAAAAGTAAGATGGATATTGCAACAACACAAACCTAATCGAAAAGCCTTTTTTCTTTTACTTAATCAACGCATATTTATTGATTGCTCATACATTCAGTCATTCAAGCTCTCAAACGTTTATTCAATCGTTTGTTCAGTCAGTCAGTCAGTCAGTCAGTCAGTCAGTCAGTCAATCAGTCATTCAATCAATTAGATGTTCACCAATCCATCATCAATCAATCAGTCCCACAGTAAATTATTCAATAAATCATCAAGCAATCAGTCAGTCAGCAAGTCCCTCAGTCAGTCAATCATTCAAGCTGGACGTACCCTTCCTTCAGGCGATTCCTCCTCAGTCTCCTCCTCAATAGGTCCTGGTCCGGGGCCGCCTGGACCCTTGGGTGGACCACCAACGCTCGTACGTATTTGTCTGGGAGCTGGATAGCCAGGTTCACCCTAACAATTACAACAGCTCTTATTACTCTCTGCTACATTGCTTTTGGAAAAGACAATTATATAGAGGTTCTAGAGATGCCACAACTTAGCAGGTTCACCGGCACATAGACTGTCCCCAGTTTTGGTAGGCGCTTATTTCACTCGCTCTTCGCGTTAATTCACCATAAAAGCTTTTGTACGATTTGTTTATGGTTTATAATGGAAGAAAAAAATGAAATAAAGTGGGGGCGAGTGCCTTTGCTTCAGTGCCGCTTAACCCTGGATACCAGTTTTCCCGCGCATGTCTCTGGTTCCATTTTTTCCCGCGCCTGTTCCTAGCTTCGTGTTTCCCGCGCTTCTTAAGCACCAACTTTCTGTTTCCCTGCTCATTCATGTCGCTGACTGCATATTTTAGTCAAAACTGCGTTGTTTGATGAATTCTCTTAAAGACTTTACGCCAAATCCTAAATACTCCTCCTTACAAATTGCTAATTCTTAGCACTTACACGTTCTCCTGGAGGTCCCGGGGATCCCTGTATGAGAAACAGCAATACACTATGAAATGAGCATTGACGTGTTGCAAAAGAAGATTACGAAAAAGTGTACGTTGAACTAAGTATTTACTTGAAATTGACCATTAAAAGTTAACAGAAACTAAGCAACACTACGTAGTGCACTGAAAATCGTTGAGAATAACTTACCTGTTTCCCTGGTGTTCCCTGTCGGGAAAAAGAGGATACGATTAAAATGGACACACACACGAGGATTAGTGTCACGTTTCGTCGTGAAAAATGAAAAACTTCTACGTTTATTTCGATTGGATTTACGACAGATTTACAAAATTTAGGGTCACCACAATAATCACGACTTGTTCTCCGTGCTTCTTCATGTTGAGGCAGGACCACAAGAGAGGCCGAGCCTTTTATGAAACTCGGTAAACAGTGCAAACAGAAATTATTTGCGGTAAGGAATATGTATCAAAGAAATAAGGCAAGAGAACTAACCCGAACGATAATTAGTTTAGGGTTTGTTATTCGTTAACGAGTCCCGAACCCTATTGTGATTGGTCAATTAACGACTGACAGGTCAATTCAACGTGCTATGGGTTTCGCAGTGAAAATAAGGTTGCATGTAGCATAGCATCTGCGAAACGAAAGACTTTCCTGTAAAATTTTCTCCAAATGTTTTTGAAACCATCATTTAACCGATCAGTTAAGATAATATTTATCTTACCCCGAATCCCCTTGGGCCCTGTTAAGAAAATAAAAAAACAGGAATATAAGAAGATAAAAACATAGAGAGACATCAGAACATTTTCGATTTTAAATAAATAAGGTAACATTAAGTGATTTCTCCTAAACACAATAAACTCTAGAGAAACATCCTGTGAGAGGAAAGTATTATAAGCTGTTTCCCTAAAATCTATGGCGACCACTATTAATATTCAAATGACATTTATTGAATAATTTGTTATTCGCACAATCAAGATCATACACGAATGATTGAGAGTGCTACTAGCAACAAAACAAGGCTTTTTTGTATTCAAAATCAAGCCAAGTTCTTGTTGTGGTACTCATAAAAATAGCCTCTATAAGGCGCGAAAATATGCTTGGATATTTGTTCCCGGACAGTCTCTGTTTGGTTTTGGGCAATTTACGCTACAGACTGGTTAAGACTTTTATCAAATACAGCACTTGATTCAACCTCTGCTGCAGAGGAAGACTCAGCGAAGAATGAGAATCAATGCTTTTTCTTTTAGTGAAGAGAATAAAAAAGGTGTGAGACCCACCGGTCTTCCTCTAGTTCCTTTGGCTCCATTTGGGCCCTACGAAAAAAACACAGAAATCCAATATTTCTGATTGAATTAATGACAAAAAGAAAAGCAATGCTCGCGAGAAACTATCTTAATTACTCAGAATGACTCCAGAGGTCTTGGATTTCAGTTTTCACTCCTCATTTTGAAACACAACAACAATAAAACAATGAAATTAGCAACTCACCGGTAGGCCCTGGAAACCATCCTGTCCGGGTTCACCAGGAGGGCCTGGGTCTCCCTAAAATAAGAAAGGAATAATTCTTATGATTTGCTTCGTGTTACAAGTAGAACGAAAGCATTATTTTGCACTTTATAACTCTTAATATGAAATTATATCTGTGAACTGCAGATTAAGAAATGAGTAAGAAAACGATCTCAACAGAAATGAACACCACTTAAGCAGAAGAGAAAAAAAGGCCCAATAAAAATTCAGGCCTGCACGTGATTTGAAACCAGTGCTCTACCAACTGAGTGAAGTGCTCTACCAAGTGAGCTAACAAGCCACACACAAAAAAATATAAAGCAAGGAGATGGGAGACAGAGATTGGGAAATAAGGATTTGTCTTCTTAGAGCCAGCTCTGAACAAAAGAGAAACGGACGAGTAACTTTGTGACAACTCAGTGTTTGTTTTCTGATACCACGTCAACAGATTGAGATTTTTGATCATTATACAAACCGTGGTTCCTGGTGGTCCTGAATCTCCGTTGAAGCCTGGGATTCCTGGCTTTCCCTGATAAAAAGAAGAAACACAATCAATTATCCCTTATCTGGTCGTCATGGTTACCAAATAAAGAGCAGTGCTGAAGACGAGATGTTTCGTCAAAGTGAGAAGAGTTTAGCAAATAGAAACCCCTTGCTCTCCGCTGGCCTTTCCAAAACCGTTTATTTATATACCAGAGGGCCCTAATTTCACTTGCAGTCTAACCGACGATCGAAGAGAAAATAGGTCTGTGAACAGTCTACCTCAAACTCTCGTTTGATGATACTAACAAGATACAGTGGGACTACCTCTCTGATACTATTTCTCGTGTGACTGCTTTTGCGCAGTGAGCCGCAATTACGTGACCAGATTTGTGCTACTGCCCTCGTGTGACTGTTCTTGTGGATTTAACTGCGTTTACGTGACTGGGTTTGTGTGACTGCCCTTGTGTGCCTCTCTTTGTGCAAGTGGCTGTGTTTGCGTGACTGGCTTTGTGTAACTGCCCTTAAAAACTGACGGTTTTTTTGGAAGTAGCTGCGTGAGCGTGAGTCTATTTTTGTGACTGCTCTTGTCTGACTATTTTGTGAAAGTTGCTACATTTACGTAACTGGCTTTGGGTGGACTGCCCTTGTGTGACTGTTTTTGTGCAGGTGGCTGCGTTTCTGTGACTTGCTTTGTGTAACTACCCTTATGTGACTGTTTTTGTGCAAGTAACTGCGTTTCTATGAATGGCTCTGTGTGACTGCCATTATGTTTCTGTGCAAATAGCTGCGTTTCTGTTACTCTATTTGAGTGGCTGCCCTTGATGGAGTTAAGCCCATTCCAAAGTTAAGGGAAAAACAATGATAATAATGATAAGAGTAATAATAATAGTAATAATAATAATATCAATAACGATAGTACTGTCTAATAAACCTTCAACTTGTAATAATAATAATAATGACGATTTTAATTATTATTATTATTATTGTTATTATCATTGTTAATACTATTATTATTACTATTATTATTATTATTATCATTATTACTTTTATCATCTTTTTTATGAAGTCTTGCTTACCAGTCGGCCTTGGAGACCTACGCGTCCAGGCGAGCCCTGCATACCACGTACACCCTGACAATAAAATATGATATTTTCATAAGAGATCGATCCTTTGTCATTTTTTTCTTTTTAAGGCTTCAAAATGGTGTTATTGTTTTTGCCTTAATCCTAGTGACGTGTAATCACAAATGTTTGGCTATTCAAATAAATGTTACAGATCTACGTATGGTAGGGAGTTGAAAATTTCGGTCAGTTTTGAGAGTTCATTCACCATCAGCGTGTCTTAGCGCTCATGGCATCGTGCACACGGTAAAATAGAAAGCTTTGCTTATCACATAAGTTAAGGCACTCTTGGAAGTCCATACCTTCTCTCCCTTGCTTCCCTGGAGTCCACGAACTCCTTTCGCTCCTATCGGTCCCTAGAACAGGAGCAGGCACCATACAGTCAGAGTTAGAAGTGGTGAAGAAAGCAAAACTGTTGTTTACACTAAATAGCATACTTACAGAACTACCACCAAGTCCTCGTTCACCGTCTGGGCCATTCTCGCCTGGAGCGCCCTAAATACAAAAATCACTGATTAAAACTGGTTTAAAATGGAATCGGCTCAGATGCAACAAGCACATTAACTTTTTCACCATAAGAGTGGTTAAAGTTGTTTTTTGTGTCTGCTCGCTTGCTTTTGGTGCCCATGTTTTTTGTATTTTTTGTGGAATTTTAAACTATTTTTTGGCTTTTTTTGACCTTTTAATCTTAACTATGTTACGTTAATAAAAGCCCACACACGAAAACTGTCCTTTTGGTCTTAGTTGGGGGGGGGGAAACTCACAGGCACAGCCCCTAAGCTTCCTCGCTAGGAATGAGATAATGATTGTATTATTCTCATATGAACATTGTAAATATTTTCTGGCGAAATAACTCAATCAATCAAGATAACAAGTTATTTCTGAAACTGTTCCTCCCCTATCAACTTCTACTTGATAATCAACCAGACAAAATAACATAATCACACTTCAAACGTCTCCAAATGAGTTTACGTCATCACATGACGACGGAAAATGTACCTGTCTTCCAACTGGTCCACGGTCTCCCATGGAACCTCTCTGCCCAGGTCCTCCGCGAGGTCCTGGTGCACCATCATCTCCATCAAGCCCCGAGAATCCTCTATCACCCTAGGGTATGACGACATCACTTGGTAAACAAATCGGCAAATCAAAGAAGCAGATCAACTCTGATCTGAATAACTCTATCGAAACGACAAAAGCGCGATAAAATTACTCCATGAAGCTGATGGGCCCGAGTATTTACTATCCTAAACGTACATGCAGTTTTAAACTCTTCACAAATCCAAAGAAATTCAATTCCTTTTTGATGACAATTTTTAGTCTCATCTTTGAGCTCGATTACAGCTACTCCGGTATTCAAGATTATTTAGTCCATGTCAAAATAGTTTGTATACGCTGGATTTACTTTACAACAATATCGCTCGACGATGTTGTATAGATTATTTTGGTGATGTCCATTGCCTGTTGAAGACGATTTTAATATTTACTCGAACACTGCTATCGTAAATTATAGGCTCCTCGTTTACAAATTAATTTACAAACTAGTAAAACTCCTGAGAATAGTTTTTACCTTTTGTCCGCGCCGACCCGGGTTACCCGGGGCACCGGCTTGACCAGGCGTTCCCTAAAATACAACAGAGTACATATAGTAAAAAACAATCGCTCCTCGGAACAATAACAAATAGAAAATCGGTGAGGGTACCGAAAATGGTCACCAAGACTATACAGGGATGGAAATGAATCGATAAAATGAGAGAAAATATTGAAAACAAAGTACAATTTGAACATTGCAACTTACATCTGTGCCAGGGAATCCAGGTTTTCCCCGAGAGCCCGGAGGTCCTGGGCGACCCTAAAACAAAGCATGAAAAAAATATCAGTAATGTAAACACCTTTGACGATAATAATATTAATAATAACAACAATTATAATTAAGATGACGATAATAATAAAAGAAAGTAATTATTTAGCCTAATTACTTCAAAGCGTTCAGTTCGTTAAACGGAGCAAAATAGCCTACGGCGCAATAGTAGCGCAGAAGTGAAAAATTTCGGGTCGGGTCGGGTCGGGTCGGTTAAAGTACGGTGCTTCTTAAGCGACCTAACCCCAACATTTTTTTCAGTCCTCCTCTTCTGTTTATTATCGCATTTCCTTTAATACCTGAACGCCTGGAACAGACAAGTGATTATTGTATCAAGAGTAGAATAATACCACAATCTAAGGGGAATTCCAGCACAGACAGATCTAGAGACATGCTCCGACCGGACTTCGTCATCAAGAACAAAAATAAAAAAGTAGACTACTAATCGAGATATCCATCCCGACTGACACGAACACCTTAGATAAGGTTACTAAAAGACTGGTTAAATATTAAGACTTTGATATTAAGATCAAAAGAAACGAGTTATGAAAGCCACATCAGTACCAATGATGATTGCAAACCCTGAGACTCGTTAAGAAACGAATGGAGATATTCAATAAATACATTCAGGATAACGTGAAAATACAAGAACTACTGAATATTACATTACTTCCACCATCCTATAAGACAAGAAATATCCTATAAAAAGACTACTACTCCATTACAACCCTTGACCCGAGAATGGGCCTGGCCACTATGCCTCGTTAGGGCATGTGATGAAGGCAAACTTCATGATAATAAGAATGGCGATGATGATAATAATGATAATGATGATAATGATGATAACAAGAAAATATCAGACTCATTAGTTATATATTATAATAATAACTGAGAGGATAACAGACCCCTTCTCCTGGCGAACCATCGACTCCGTTCTGACCTGGTTCACCAGCTTCTCCCTAAATCCGAAGGAACGCGAGTAAATAAACAAACACTGAATACAAGGCCCTAGTGGTAAGAGCGCCACTTGCCTTTCACAGTGCCTTCCCCCACACGAATTTCCTTTCACATTGCCTCCCCCCCCATACACACACAATCACAGCACCATCAAGGCGTATAGGTAGGTACCACGAAACCTCACCAAGATTCTGGGGGCAACCCTGCGATGGACAGGCATCCTTTTTAGCGCAGGGGTGTGGGGGATGGAAGTTCTAATACTTCTTGTCACTTCATGTTATTGAAACCGGGATGAAATTCGGTTCTTGTCTCCATTTGTCTGGATAGAAAAGTAGGATTGGAATTATCTACCAGAGTTCATCGCGCAAAGGCAGAAAATAACAACCTTTGAAGGCGATTGATGATATTTTGGCGCAAATCGTCATAGGATATTTAATCTTTTCTCTTTTGTCGGGAATAAAATCGAACAAATCTTCACTTTCAGGGTGAAACTTACCCGTGGTCCTTTGCTGCCAGGAGGTCCTTGAGGACCACGAGCACCTTCTCCTCCCTACAGAAAGAAATAACTGCATGCTTGAAAATAATAATAATAATAATTATAAACTGCATTGGATTAAGCATACACCCTTGGGAAGTAACCATACCTACTTCATGCTTTGAAACCGGAGTTAATCTCGGTCGGATGGATTTTAAGATACGCTAACTTCAATTTCGTTTGAATTTTTAGTGAATTATTTATTGCAATTCGTTATTCAGCTTTAATTCCTTCAACGCTGGAAACGACAAAGGGAAGACAAAGTCAGAGTTACTTCCAAGCTCCATTTCTCTCAGCCAATCAGAATGAAGAAATATACTTACTGATGACCCCGCATCTCCTCTTGGCCCAGGAGGACCAGGAGGGCCTGAAGGTCCCTGGAGAAAAAAATAACAGACAAGTGTGACTGATAGAATAATTTACTGCATCTTGTAAGCGAGTTTGGAACAGCACACGTCACTTTTCATATTTAATTCATAAGCGGCCTTTCAAATGGCACTGATTATCGTACGGTACAAGGTGGATAATTTTTAAGGAAACGAGCAAAATCCCACTGTGTGACCATCAAATGAAAACGAATGAGTAGTTTTCCCGTGTGGTACTGTTTATTATGCTGTTTTAAGTGGACCTAACGTTAAAGTCAAAGAACATAACCCTAGTGCCTGACCTGGAAGCAATTTCTATGTGTTAATGTTCATTAAAAGCTGTACAAGATAGTTCTTACTTTGCAGTCTGTGGACCAGATACATGTGCGTGACTGTTTGAATGAAAGCTACTGGGAATTACTGTCAAGTGGCGAGCAGTACTCACTAGTGGTTCACTTTCCTTTTTGTCCAGATAATGAAGTCTTGGCGCGTGATAAAAACTGAAGGGTATTTTCAAGTGGTCTTGTTTGTTTACATTGAATCTAAGAGTGATTCATTTTGAGTAATTAAAAATAATCAGCTCGATCCTCACCCGCCTGCCTGTTTCTCCTGGTTTTCCTCGAGCTCCAGGTCGTCCATCTTGACCCTGTTAACACCGAGAAAAAATAACCTCAGAGTAAACTTGTCCATAACGATACAGAATTGCAAAGGGGAATTGTCCACACCGTTTGTGGTAAACTTTCAGAGTACGACATACTGTTACAAAATCAAAGAAACCGTTCATAACCGTTCGTTGTGTGCTTTATGTCACTTTGTCCTGACTTGGATTTCTCTATTCGTGTTTTGTCTACCGCAATGTTTTTAATATACACTAAGAAAGTTTCGGCAAAGATTTCTGTCATAATAAATAATAACTACTTTACTTAAGTAACATAAAACACAATTTAACCAAAGCTTATGTCTTCGCTTTATCACTACTCCAAGCCTTAACGGTAGT